GGTCTCATTGAATGGCAGCGCAGCCTTCTGGGGTTCCTTGATAGTTCTTAAGAATAAAAAACCTGAGTACAGGTAGAGTACAACAGACAAACAGTCCCTCCAATTCAATATCCTGTTCCTGCCAGCAACTACAAGGTGCCTGTGTACCTTTCTCTAATCCTTTTTCAGCCTCCATCTATTTTCAGTTTATGGGACTTTCTAGCCATAAATCTTTGTTGTTAAATGAAGAATTGCAGCTGACTTTCTTGTCTCCTATGTTTTTAGAACTAAAAAACCAAAGAAGGCATCTGCTCCTCCAACCAAGGAAGAGAAGTCCAAATTAACCATTTTTGAAGAAGTAAATCCAGATGAAGGACTCTTTGGCCCAGAAGAAGACTTCTCATCAATTGGTCCCAGGAAGAAGATGAAAGAGAGTAAATCTGTTCTATATTTTTATATAAACAGATTGTTTTATCTAAAGCATGTGTATAACTCAGCTTTTATAATGTAGTGATACAGAGTATACAGGCTAATAATGACTTGGGAATCTTAAGGCAAATCTTCAGCTGGGGCAGAATCTTCTAGAATCATTCAGAAAGACTAAATAAGACCTGTAGCTCCCATAGCTGTTCACTGTTAACATTTTGGACTTGGATATTATAGGGCTGTCCCACAGTGTGAGCTGGCTGTCCCACAGTCATTCATGCCACACTAACAGAAGTAATGTGACCTACTTTTGAGTGCAAGAAGAAAGCAGATTTACCAAGTCCTGAGAGTGCAGAGTATCACTGCACTTTGTGGATTGGAAGTTCTTGTAAAAAAAGAATTGTCTACATGATCTTTTTTTTTTCAGCACAGTAGCCAGATTTACAAGCTAGTGTTAATGCAGACATTGCTCTTATGTAGCATTTAGATTTAACTACAGCATTTTCTGGTTTCCCTTTCTAGATCTGAAATTATTTGAAGATCCAGACCTTGGTGGGGCAGTAAGACTGGGTGACTCACTGCTGCTGCCAACGGCATGTGAGAACAGGGAGTATGTACTGAACATGGGTCCTGAAGAGGACACTGAAGAACTGCTGAGGTACACATCTCACATCTGTCATGTAGGGTGAATGTGATCAAATCTGTTGTGTAGGGTGAAGGTGATCTGAGGAGCTATTTAGACCTCAGAAGAGACTAATTTGAGGGCACACCTTAAGTACTTTGAATGCTAACTGTGAATCAATACTTGTGCTTATAAGTAAAAGGTAAGATATGTGTCATGGAGCTTGGAAATCAAACACATTAAAAAGGAAATTAGGAAGACCCTTTGAGAAAGATAGGGTGCAAGGTATTATTCTGTGACTCCAAAGGAAGGGTCTTGAAAGCCCAAGGCATGCCATCTAGTCTCTGTTTTCTAACATGACACTTCTGCTTTCTGCAAGCCATCCACAGGGACTCAAAACTGACCTCCATTACGAAAAGTGAGAAACAAAGCCCAGAAACAAAGAGGAATTTGGCTTCAGTTCAGTCCCTGAAATCAGGGGCTCTTGCCTCTTGCCACAAGAGGAATGATTTTCTGTCGGTGGGTCACAGATCTCCATGCCTGCTTCCAGGAGGAATCCTGTGCACATCTCCACAGCTGTAAAAGACTCTCATTAATCACCCTGCATTTAGTTTTTAATCTAATGGAAAGAAAGGCCGAAGCTTACAGTTACAGGAAGGAATAATGTACTTCCTCTTACACTTACCTGCCCCCTTGTTAGTGTAGTGCTGGAACATATCATCACTTAATGTGTTTTATTCCTGACATCTCTCCCAGAAAGCTAGTTTGTCTGCACTCATAATGCTCAAGAGATCAAGCAGGGAGCAAATGCCCAGAGAGATCAGCATCACCAGGGAATCTGTGCTGCAATAAAAAGTCAGATTCATGCCTTCTAGATCTCAGGCTGGCATCTGAATAGTGAGGCCAGCCTGCTTCCAGTACTAATTCTTGCCAGCCAGCTCCTGTTAGGATGTATAATTTCCACAGCAGGTACTAAACCCAGGAGAGAGAAGCTGTGTGTGGTTTCAAACCTTTCCTGAAGCAGGTAGTTTTGCACCTATTTCTTTCTACACATGCATAAATGCTAGCTATCCCAGCAGTACTATCTAACTTCATCTAAACAGAGGTTAAATTGAGTTGGTTGCCATCTCACATTACATCCTGACAGCCCACCTGATGTTTATAGAAGCTGATGAGGCAGGACATGACCTGATTTAGTGCTGTGGTATATTGGGAGCAAACACATATGTGCTTGCAATATTTTTGTATTTGCTTTCTCCTCTTCTGGCAATCTCAGCATATAGTGCTCGACCCAGATTGTTCATATGGCTAGAAGAGAAGTGCCTATTTCAATGCAGTCCTTGCATTATTATCCACTAGTGGAGAGAGCTTCTCCATCTGTTTTATTTTTGTCCTTTGAATTATGTGTTTTCTCTTCCTCTGTGGCAGAGAAAGGTCTCTGAAGTCTGCTGTGAGACCAAGAGATCATGCTTTTAGATAAGTTTGGGGTCATCAGTGTTAGCAGCACACCCAGATGGTAATGGAAACCCATGAAAAAAAGATTCCCTTTCTTTTAAATTCCAGTAGTTTTAATTTATTCTTGAATTGTCCCAGTGCTTTCAGTAGTTGACAAGTCATCAAGATACAATTGGAAATGCATACATGTAATGAAGCAGAAAATCATGCCAGCGATTCAATGGGAAAGTTGCTACAGGAATGGCTTTTAACTGGAAATGGGTAATGGCTTTTAACTGGAAGAGGGTAATGGCTTTAAACTGGAAGAGGGTAGATTTAGATAAGATATGAGGAAGACATTCTTTCCTGTGAGGGTGGTGAAACACTGGAACAGGTTGCCCAGAGAAGCTGTGGCTGCCCCCTCCCTGGAAGTGTTCAAGGCCAGGCTGGATGAGGCTTTGAGCAACCTGGTCTAGTGGAAGGTGTCCCTGCTGGTGGCAGGGGGGTTGGAACTAGATGATCCTTAGTGTCCCTTCCAACCCAAACCATTCTGTGATTCTATGAAACCAGAGGCAACTCCTGTCTGTGCAAGAGGTATAGGCAGATAGATCAGGATCTGTTGACCAGTTCAGGTGCCTAACACCCTCTGAAATCCCCCTGGTAAACCTAGTTCACATTGCAAGGTGACTGGGGGTAAAGGAGAAGCTGTTAAAAGGGGTAAGAATAGAGACAGTGCTGTTTTAACCTAGTAGGATGTTTCACCTTGCCTGTAGGTAAATTCATTGCAGTCACCTGAAATCCTGTAGCTGCACTTTCTAAAGTGGTAATGAACTTTGTTTTCTGTTTAGCTGGAAGCCTTAGCAGAACTGTCAGGTCTAATGTAGAAGCGACATTGGAATCATCTCCCACCTTCCCTTACCACCAAACTGGTGTTACATATTCTTGCAGGGCGGTGCCACAGTCTCTTTTCCATGGAGTGACCCTTTGTGGTGAGAAGAAGTGTTCAACATCAGTTGAACCTTGCAATCCTTCTGGCTTGGGGGCTTGAGCATATTTTGAGGCCTAAGAATAAATCTTGCCTTTGCCCTGTACGTGTCAACAATCTCTCTCCCAAAGGGTCATAGAATCATAGAATGGTTAGGATTGGAAGGGACCTTAAAGATCATCTAGTTCCACCCCCCCTGCCATCAGCAGGGACACCTTCCACTAGACCAGGTTGCTCAAAGCCTCATCCAGCCTGGCCTTAAACACTTCCAGGGAGGGGGCATCCACAACTTCCTTGGGCAACCTGTTCCAGTGTCTGACCACCCTTACAGTGAAGAACTTCTTCCTAATATCTCATCTAAACCTACCCTCTTTCAGTTTAAACCCATTTCCTCTAGTTTTTCCCTCAGGGGACTGAGGGAATCTCTCCCCAGCCGTCAGATCAAAGTGGGAACTATGACAACCCATTCCTTTAGAGGGCTAGAGCTGGGTAAGCTGCTAGAAGAAAACTGGCAGTTGTCTAGGTCTGTTGGACATACTCTGTTATAACATACAGAAAATTTGCCTGAATGTATTTTGTCAAGACCTCAGACCAGCCTGAGCTATGACGCACCAACAGGTCTGTGGTAGGTCCAGAAACCTCATCATGTTCACTGCACACAGATGGATCAGCTGAATAAAGCAGATACGGTAGCTCTTGACTTATGTAATGTACATTTGCACGTACCACATGGTCTGCTCACATGCATGTGGTAGATCCAGGAGGTGTCTGACTTACTGGAAAATGTGAATCATGGGCAGAGATAGGAGAGCACTGCCTAAGGCAGAGGAAGGCAGAAACTTCTTCTTCCAAAGGGGAGATGGGAAAAGATGATGTTCAGAGCAGAACATAGGAGCAACCAAGTCCTTCGGTACCTGAGTGGTTGTAGTAGCAGTAGCACCACAGCACTGTCAGCACAGCAGTGAATCCCCAGCAGTGACTTATAACTCCTGAGGAAGAGACTGTTATGGAGATAAATGAGTCTGCAAAATGTGCGTGGGCTGTGCTTGTCACAACATGAGGGAGAAGAGAATATGATAAATGTTCTCATTGCAAACGGAAGACTGTGCTCTCTGTGGATACCTGCTCAAATGAAATGAGAATTACTGTTTTAAACAGAATCACTTACTTTACATTAACAAGTGTTGAGCTCTGAGAAGAACAATTGTTTTGTAAGTCTAATTAGAGATTTCTTTTTATTGCAAAATACCCATGTCCATTCAAACAAGTATCTTCCCTCTTCCTGTCCATTGACCAGCCTTTTACTGGTTACTAATTTCTTGGCCTACCAACAAATATTAAGCGATGGTAATGGAGAAACTAGGTGAGCTACCTCACTCTAACCACTGGCATTGTAGGTGCAGGCACTCCTTCCTACCACTATGTCTACCATAATACATCAGTGAGATGCCTGTAGAGCGCTGTACTTGCATGTCCTTCCAGAACTTGTGGAAAAGAGATAAATTGCTGTGGTAGGAACCAGCAAGGTCAAGTCCATCATGTTGCCTTCAAAAAGAGAGAGGAACACGTTATACTCTTCCTTCATGGGATGTGCTTTGAGAAAGGGAGGGATAGGTAACCAAGTCTTTTTGGCTTATCTCTTCACCACAGGGATACAGAGGAACCTAGGTTCTTCCAAGAAGACCTGGGTCTCATTGCTTTTGCCTCTTTCAAGGTGCAAGGTGACCAAATGCAGTGAGATAAAAGGGTAGCTGATCAACCCTTTCCCAGATGTTAAAATAATTATCTTTGGGAATGGATTTAACATCAGGCTTCTCTTTTCTCCTGTCATTTTCCTGGGTCATATTATACCTTATAAAGATGCATTCTGGATGCATTCAGACATTTACCTCCACTCTCAAAGCTTCTCTTCAGGTCTGATTTACATTTAAGCTAGAGACAGAAGTTAACTTGTGCAGAAATCAGTATCCTGCAAACTCTCCCCTCATGGATTCTCATGCCATCTTATTTTCTCATCTCCATCCACCCAGTGGCCACAAATGTGCAAATTAAGCTTTCATACAGCAGGACTGCAGTCGACCTCTTCTGCCTCATTAATCTAAATTGTGCCTCCTTGGTGTGATGGATCAGGCTTTTGTGGAAAACCAATGCTAGAATTGATCCTGTGAATGTTGCAGCAGCTCTGTGGGCCCACAGAATTACATAAATTATCACATATCCTAGCCTCAAATAATTATCACAGTTGTCTGAGCAACCTTTTATGAGAGAATTAATTAGCTTCACCTTTGATAATGAATAGGGAGTTGAACTGGAAGGAAGCAGCTGTCAGCATAAGATTTGTCTTTTTCCAGTCCTGAGCAAAGTGTCAGCAGCAGGATCCTGGTTCTGCTGCCCTTTGCTGATTGACCTGATGTATTCTTTCTTAGGCTTACACTGATCTAGGACTGATGATATTGAAAGGGACAGTCCAGCTCTTACCTTTGTGCTACAGCTGCATCATCCTGCCTGTATCCTTAAAAGATTAATTTTGCAGGTTGATCTGTGTTTACAGCTGCGAGCTGTGCCATCAGTGATAACCCTTTCAGGAGCATTGTATTATTAGAGGCTGAAGCTGTTT